TATATATATATATATATATATAACTATTCAGGTACTGTGCATGCAGGATAGGATAGGATAGTCCTGTATGTATATATCTCTCCTCTTCTTCTTCTGCATGCATTGTATGCGGCGAGGAAGTTTTTTCTTATTCTTTCTTATTCTTGTTCATGGTGTATATATTTAATGGTTTCTCCTCTTCCCTTTTCTTCTTCCTTCCTGTTATACCTCATTCCTCTACCGTTCTTCTATGGCTTGACGCGTAACTGATTGCATATATTCGGTAATTTTCTCTTCTCCTTCCATCCGTCACAGTTGGTCACTGGAAGGTGTGGCTGCAGCAGTGAGATTTCTGAATTCGATCTAGGATTTCATCAACAAACTCATGCTGGGAGAACACCGCGCATCAGGCTCTGCGATTTTCACAGCTAACGAAACGAAACGACCACTTGAGGAGCGACAATTCTGCTCCTCATGATGTTACAGTAAGTATGGACAGCAACACAATAAGTTGCACAGCCCATTTTACCACAACAAAATATAAGCACGTTCAGTGGAACACTGCCGAAGTATATTCATCAGCAGGGAGCCTGTATAAGTTTGGCTAACCTAAAGGCCCAAGCTTGACCCATGGGCAACACGCCGTCGATACTGCAGCACCATTTTTCATTTTGTCCCTAACTGAATCTGCAAGGGTACACCGCAATCGCAGAAAAAGGGGATTGCTTCTAATCACGAAGGTATTGTGCTCGTAGTGCCTGTGTAGAGCCTTTGTCAGTTGTGGGGCTATACCAATTTTTTTATCAGGATACTGATTGTCTTTACTAGAAGAAAGGCCATCGGTGGCACTGCTTGCCCAGAAACACCGTTGAGGGCATTCACGGTATCGGGTTGCACTAACGCTAAGTCTAAATATAGGCTGCATGAAGTTATCTTCAAATACAGGCTGCATGAAGTTGGTTTACGCCGGTTTGCCCCCTCAGATTCATCTACTTAAGCCGCTGCGACCAGTGCTGCATTTTCAGCTCACACTGGTAGTCGCATAAGATCAACGACCCCGAGTTACAACCTTATCTCCCGCCGCTACAGACACGCTGCGATTAGGAAACCTGGAGAGGAGCAGGGGATATGATTGGCACTAAAAGATTTCTCAAGTTAGTATTTATGCTCCACTGCAACTCAATAAGGTCATGGATACCCCGCTTGCAGCAAAGAATGCTGCTGCTAGACAATCCTACTTGGAAGCACAATCAAGCCGCTTTTACCACATGCACTAACACACTGATCTACTTTGTCCTTCATAGTCAGCAAAATCGCGAGCATATTGCACGCACCAACCAACTTAGTAGCAGGCTACAGGAGCATTCTGCATGAAGCAGATCACCACATTAAATATATCCGACCATTTTTATTTACTAACTTTATCATTCCAATTAATTAGAGTAAGTGAATTTAGCAATTCTTATAGGTAAAGCCATTTCCAGAGCATGTGCAACCCCCCATGGCAACCGATCCGCTCGGCTTGTGGCACACGCGACTGCAGCAAGCACGCCTGCCACAGTCTTTTTCCGGTAGACTTTTGGTCTACGTGGTATGTATAAGCATTTGAAATGCTCTGACAATTGATATATTCAGAATTAGAGGAGTTTCCATTGTGGTAAGGTGGACGAAGCGAACGGAACTCCTCTTCGAGTGTTCGACAGGCATTCGGAATGCAACTGCCGCTTGGAACACGAGAAGAGCATTCGTTCGATCCACCGTTTTCTATTTTGAAGCTCCAATCTTCTGATGAGAAGAATAAAGAAGTTGAAAAAGAGGGGGCGAGGGGGACAAGGCTTCAAAATGCGACGCCCACCAGGACACCTTCGGGATACGCTGCCGCGGGGAATCGACTGAAGCCTACCATGCTTCTCGCCATCTTTGCGTTTCTTTTTCTCCTTTTAAAATGTGCCAGTCGTGTGTCTTTCCGTCGTATGAACGAAGGAAGAACGATCAGGCGACTGGCAAGACGGCGCCCCCCTCCCTATGCTGAACAGGATGACGACGTTTCTGCTCTTGTTGGCCTGTGTTTAGACCTAGAAGAGTCAAGCCCTGATTTGTTGCAACCTGGATACGGTCAGCCACCGTCAGTGCAGCGGGATCCCGCTTTACAGCAGCCGCAAACACGGGCGCTGTTGCTGCCGCAGCAACAGCAGCCGGTGCTGCTGCAGCGACGGGGAGGACAGGACCAGGTATTGCAGCACCACCGAGTGCAACCGACGCTTCTTCAGCATCGGGGGCAGTGGGTGACACGGCAGGATCCGGCTCAGGAAGGTCAACGACGACAGCAGGAGGCGTTGCTTCAGCACCATGGGCAGCATATGCGTATTCCGCCGCAGCAACGCCACCAGGAGCTGGGCGTCCACCAGCAACCATGGCACCAAAGGGTGCTGCCGCCACAACAGCATCAGGCGGCGATGTTACAACAAGGGCAAGAACAGAAGGGGCTGCCCCTGCCGCAACCAGGGCAGCAGGCGCTTCTGCAGAAGCAGCAGGTGCCACAGGTGTTCTTACAGCACCAGCGACGGCAGCAGCAACAAGGGATTCAGGGGCTGCATGCCTCGCTGCTGCTGGAACACTCGCAACAGCAGATGCTGACGCAGCTGAAAGAACAGCAGCTGCTGCTGCAGCGGCATGGAGGGCAGGATATGCACCTGCAGCCACAGCAACACCCCCAGCAACCCTTAGTGCGGCAGCAACAACGGCGGCAGCAGAAGCAAGAGCAGCAGCTGCTACCACTGAGGCTGCCACGGTACGCGACGCCGCACGTGTTGGAGCACCATCAGGGCTTGGAGGCGGTGCAGCCTCCTCAACAATGGCAACAGCAACACCTGCAGCAGCAAATTCCCATCCCAGCGCAGCAACAGCAAACCCAATTTCATCCCTCGTCGTATACCCAGCCAGCTATTGTGTCATTGGAACCCCCATTCGATCCTCCCACACAGATTCAGGATGATTTTTATCCATCGATGCAGAACCTTGTTGTTGGTTCGACACCCGGCAGCGCCCCTGCTACTAGTAGTACTATTACGACTACTAGTACTACTCCTACTATTTCTTCTAGAGGTGTACTCCAGCATTATCTCAGTGATAACAGCTCATCTGCTGCAATGACGGGGCTGACAGCACCTCTTCTTCATCCTCCCATAGGAAGCCCACTGGCTGATTCCTCCTCTGGTTTACATTTGCTGGCGAAGGTTGAGCCCAGGGACCCAGAAGTCTCGTTTGCTTCTTCACTCTCACTAGAGCAGCCATTTGGGGTGGGTGGATGGTCGAGCGATGAATTTGAAGGCCCCCCCCTGGCAAAGCGAATGATGCTTGAAGTGCCTTCCGAAGGAAGCGAAGAAGCTGGGGTGTACACGCACCGCAGCTCAATGGATGCGGGACACGGACGAATGCCTGCATTTGAGGATTCCAGTAGCTCTCCTGATGCGTGGCTATCTGATTCCGTATTCGATATTAATTTACACCAACGCCAACTAGATTCATTCGATTCATCGGACTCATTTGAGTTATTTGACCCTTTTGCTTCCCATGCAGAAGAAAAACCAGGAACTTCAACACAGGAAACTACTTATGCCAGCACATCCTCCCCGGATGACCAGCCAATTCTGCCGCCGGGGATTACTTCTCAAAAAGGACCCGCTGCTGCGAGGGAGGCAGCTGTTGGAAGGGGGGCACGTGCTGCAGGGGATGTACTTGCTGCATGGGAGGCACGAGCTGCAGGGGAGGCGCGTGCTGCAGTGGAGACGCCTGCAGCAGGAGAGTCACGTGCTGCAGGGAAGACACGCGCTCCAGGAAAGACTCATCCTGCAGGGAAGGCACATCCTGCAGGAAAGGCGCGTTCTACAGGGAAGGCACACCCTGCAGGGAAGGTGCATCCTGCAGGGAAGGTACACCCTGCAGGGAAGGCACGGCCTGCAGGGAAGGCGCGGCCTTCAGGGAAGGCACGTCCTGCAGGGAAGGCACGTCCTGCAGGGAAGGCACGTCCTGCAGGAAAGGCACGTGCCGCAGGAAAGGCACGTGCCGCAGGAAAGGCACGTGCCGCAGGGAAGGCACGTGTCGCATGGAAGGCACGTGCCTCAGGGAAGGCACCTGTGCCAGGGGAGGCGCCTGCTGCAGGATGGATTGCTGGTGCAGTAGAGGCCCTTCGAGGTGGCCTTTTAGACAGTAGGAGTGATGATGATTCTACAGAAGGAAGTGATTCAGATTCATCGTTTATGCTTTCAACGAGCAGCCAAGATAACAGTGAAGATTCGGTAGAGGAGGAGTTGTCGGAAGATTCTTCCGATGACAATGAGGACATGGAGAATCATCCCTTTTATCGGCTGCCAAAACTTGGGCCGGGTGTATCTCCACGTTCTGTGATTATTGATGGTTATCTTGGGGCAGCTGGGCGTAACTCATTTGTGCATCGTAGTTTGTTGTCTGTGCACCAATTGTGTTCTCGGCAATTTTTGACCAATGCTGAGGCAGACGAACTAAGACGTTCTGCACAGCAATTAGGAATGTTTTTGCGAGGCAGGCACAGGACCCCTCTGAACTCCAAATCTCCCTTCAGAGCGGCGTATTTGCTGGGCCGTCGGTTCTTTCTCATGGATGCTATCCTCTCCTCTCTACAAGTGCTGGGCTTCACGGAGGTGTCTAGGAGGAGTTGGGGAGAGCTAGCGAAGGATATCCCGTCAGTCGTTGACTACAGATACACGAGAGGATACGGCAAGCAGTTTAACAAAAACATGAATGTCGTCAACCGGCTCAGTGAAGCGCTCGCAAGTCTTAAAGAAGGAGTTAGAGCTCCTGCTAAAGAGACAGTGGCACTCAAAAGATACCTCCTGTCGCACCTCAGGAACACAGACTTTGTTCGTAACGCTTTCGACAAGTGGAGAGAAGATGATACACGATGGATGGAGGACAGAAGAAGGGAGAAGAATGCTGGAAGGCTAGGTAATGCAGGCATAGAAGACGCAAGACGCTGAGGTGTATATGCACAACAACTGAAGTTTGTCTTCGAATTTCCTGCCTAACAAAAGATGTTCGAGGAAAACTTGCAGCAGCAGCAGCAGCAGGAGCAACAGCAGGGACGGCAGCAGCACCAGCTACTGCAGCACCAGCAGCGACAATAGCAGCAAGAGCAGCAAGGGGAGAGCAGCAGAAGGATTGCTGCAGAGAGTTGGTTCGTCACTTGTGTTTGGTGCATGGGATTTATTGAATGCCTTCAATTGGTTTGTAGGCATATGCATATGGATAACATTGGAAATGGGAATCAACTTGCATTTAATGAAGTGGGGGCTTGAGTTCTTCAGATTTTTTCAACCCCGGCCAAGTCCCCTGTAGTGTAGTTTATTGAAAGGGCGCAGCATTCTACGTACAATATTCTCCTCATTATTACTCCGTCACCTCCCACAATTTGCTTCCCCCCGTGCCTCTGTTGCTGGTGTACCGGCTGGTGCTGAAATTGCGCCTATTCGGGGTTATACTGCTGGGGTGACTTCTTTCGCTATAGATATAGCAATCAATCACCTTCTATTTGGAGTTTGTAAAAGTAGATATATAATTGTTTCACATCTACTCACATCATGAAAACAGAGCACTCCCACACTCAGTGCACTCAGCGCAGGAGCGTAGTTAGCACAGCAGTGCTTCAAGATTGTTCGGTGTTGAACGTATCGGAAGTTTAAGGGCTTGAGTTATATGCATACTGTTCCTATAGCTAAAGGCGCCTGTAGAGGTTCCCTTTACTGATTAGCCTCTTCTCATTGTTACGTAGCCTCATTTACGAAGTTGTGGGAATGCTGTAAGGCATGCCTCTAACGTTGGACGATATAAAGTGTATATGGCCTTTATATGTATTGCATGCACATCATACATCAATATACAAAAAAATATATGTACAAATATACAGATAGATATGTATGTGAATTTGCTTATGATGTATATGTAATGTTTATGCACACGTACATGGTATAAAAGTAATTGTACTCGCATACGTATGATAATGTGCTTGCTGACGTTTATAAACTCATGAAAATACATTTCATCAGAAAGATATATACTTATATATTTGCTCATTAATGGAGGTGATTGCATGCATTGGTGTATCCGCACACACACACCGTCAGAAGGACGCCAGTTGGGACTTGTTGCAAGAGGAGCTTGGAAAAATTTAATAAGGCGAATATAACAGTGGATGGTTATTGTTAAAGAAATCCAGAATGATATATACAGTAAATCTGGCATATGCTCAGATGCGTCATATAATGCAACATTGAATTCTTCTATTTCAAGGATGAAACCTACTTTCGTTGCACTCCCTCTTCTCTTTAGAAGATAAAAGTCCGTGAACCCATTGTATTCGACTATTTAAAATAAATGAAGTCACATATTTTAATTAGCTGCACCATGTGAGTGCAATTTTGTACCCAAGACCGACTGCGGAGCCCACCGGTCACCGAGCGGAAGCGGCGCGTTCTGCAGCAGCAGCAGCAGCTCGAGTTAATTTCTTTGCAACACTTACTGCGTCGATTGTTTTTTCAGAGAGGACTTTGCTTTAATCTCTCTTACACTTATGCAGGAAGAAGACATTTAGTAGAGTAGGGTTGCAGCGGCAACAGGAGCTGCTGCTGTATCGGCTTCCTGAGCATTGAGTGAATGGGCAAAGGCGGAAGAGGAGGTCGGGGGTTCTGCTGCTGCTACCTCCCTCTTGTTCCCTGTTCTCTTCTCTTTCTTTCTCTTAAATTCTTTTAAAAGGGTCTAATGGAGAAGAATTTTCCCCTTTTTCACAACAAAGGCCCATAAAGTGCTAAAAGAGGGAAGCAAACGCTTTGGCTAGCCGAGCGGAACACGACTAATAAGCAGGAGCGGCAGCAGCAGTTGTCTGCCTGTCCTCCTCTGCTGCCCCCCTCATTTCTTTTTTTCTGGATTTATTTATTGATATTACAGTGTAAGCGCCTGGTAATATCCTCTAAGAAACACTAGAACAACCCGCATTATCCAAACCTCAAGACCTTCTTGACCGGCAGCGTTCGAAGAGGAGCTAAGATCTCTCGCTGCCAAAACTTTGCCCTTTTGTCTATAGAGGAGAATGGAAGAGGCAATGCAAGCTATATCAGTGTCACCGATGAAAGGGCCCCACAGCCGCCGCGCTGCCGCTCCCCCACGACCTTCATCTCAAGGTTCTCTACGAACCCTAATATTTGCACCCATAAACCAAAGCTCTAAACCAACAGTAGACGAACTACTTAAGCTTCCCTTTAAACCCTTAACTGTACACCCCAAGTTTTTTGTGCACGACCTTATAAAAGAGCTCGAGGAGGAACGCTAATGCGTATTCTTTATGCCCTAGACCCTCTACAGGTGTTCTACTCGCTCCCGTGTAGTTTGTTGTTTTCTTTGGCTACTGAGACAACACAATGTTACTCGTTTCTCTATCTTGCTTCCTGTTGCACCATAAATGTATATTTACATATGCCCATCTGTACATATATATTTCTATATCTGGTAATGCATAAGCAGAAGGAAGAGAATCAGGGATACGTGCACGTCTACTGCATGCAGACAATTCCTTTATTGTATCTCTTAGTGTCTATAACATCTAACTTGTTCTCTTGTTTTGTTCTCTGCTCAGTTTTCCCTGCAGAGGGGATGCATCATCCGGACCCCCCTAGCGGCAGCACACCTCCAGGGGGCAGTTCTTCTCACGATAGTAATGGAAGAGCTGCTGCAGCAGCAGCTGCTGCTGCTTCAGGTCCTGCGCATACACCCAAAGCGCAACCCATGACCCCTCCGCTGTCGCCTACAAAGGTAAATGTATACCCTAACTAAATACTGGTTCTTATCGGTGAATTGCATGCAGCGTACGAAAAAAAGAAGAGGGTTTCTCAGGGTTTCACGTTTGTTGGGGTTTGAAGTTGAAGGTTTACTGCATGCGTTGGGTGCACTTAGATGGATTATTTTCTTCTTCTGCTGCAACAAGAAGCTCAGCAGCAAAATAATACATTTGCTGCAGCGCAAGTTTCGGGTGTACAGATGCCGAACAGGACTTATGTTTGCTTGCTGTTTCGTGCATGCAGGCACCTCAGCCAGCCCCTCCTGGCTCTATTCCGCCAAGTCATCCTGCTGCTGCTCCTCCTCCTCCACCTTCTGCAACCCCTCCTGCAAGTCCTGCAACGCCTGCTGTTGCTCCTCAAGCAGCACCAGCTGGTGCCGGCACAGAGGCAGGAGCAGCAGCAGCATCAGCTGGAGATGCAGCAGGAGCTGCTGCTGTTCCGGCTTCCCCCCCTATAGATGAAGAAGCCTTGCATACTCTTCCTTCAGGAGAGGTGCAGAGGCGCGCTCCTGCAAATCCCCTCCATGCACGTTTCTGGGCTCGATTCGGGATTGGGAAAAACAGAAAAAGAAGAAGAAAAGTTAAAGATCCTAAATTGCTCAATAATCCACTAAGAGGAAGACTTGTTGTGTGCATTAGCACTACAGCTATCCTTATCTGGCTATTCATATGGGAGTAAGAAAGATTCATGTTTCCTGTTTTCTTGTTTCTTGTTGTATTAATTAGTTAATAGTTAACAGAGTGCAGGCAATAAATGTCTATGAATGTGCGTCTTTCTGCATTTTATTGGTATTCTTTTTAGCTAAACATTATATTTACTTGGCCGCGGCCGCGTGCTGTTCTAATGAGCAGCCACACATACGCCTGCATGCATGCATGCATGCATGCATGCATGCATGCAGGCGGTGTTCGCTTTTAGAGTTTATATTTTCGTGTTTCTAGGCTCAGGTTGCACGGTGAATCTGCATGCAAGTATGCATGCACGCCGCATGCATGATTTTCTTGTTTTTTTTTTTTTTTTTGACGAATTGTTGATGTATTGTGTGCTGAATTGTTCTGCTGTTTTGTTTACAGGATGTTGTACAATTATACGAGCTTTAATGGTCGTTGTGTTAGCTCTGTACAATATCCTGATTATAAATTGAAGACAGAGGATGATAGGGCCCCAATGGTGATTCGTTATGGTTATGGTGCATGCGAGTATAATTTAGGTGCCCTAGCTTACCCAAGAGTAGCTGTAGGTAGTAAGGCAAGCGATAAAGGTTACCCAACAGATCTAGTTAAGAATGGTGCTAGTGGTTCCTCCTCTGCCTCATGGGATTCACCTAATAGTCGTATTCTTTCTGCATTTGGTGGACTAGAAACTAATTATATTCGTAATTATGGGGAAACTTTTCGTCTTTTTACCTCCATGTACCTCCATGGAGGTTTCTTACATATTGGCATCAATTTACTATGCCAGATACAAAGTCTATGGATGCTAGAACCAGTAAGTCCTTATATATATATATATATATATATATATA